TCTTGATGCCTATAAATTTGGTACCATAAATGATAAATAGATAACATAGGGTTGTGCCAGCAGCCTCCAATGTGAGGAATGAGCTCAGACTTTTCTTTAAACTCTCTTATAATTTCATTTAATTGGTAAATGTTAACATACTCCAAAATGTGTACTTTGTGCCAGAACGTTCTGACTGAGGCTTAATCGTGACTATTAGAACATTCCAATTTGGGATTTCCAAGGAAAAAAATTCTTGTCCAGTCAGGAAAACAAAAACTACCCTAGCTGTTCCAAACAGATGGCCCTTAACACATGGGATTGGTTGCACAGAAATTGGAAAGTTGAACTAGTCCAAAAATTAGCACTAGCCTAGGAGTCGAGGGCCAAAGGAAAAAGGCACTCTTACCCAGCCTGAGAAAGGCTTGATGGATTTGTTAGACATCTAAAGAGGGTACCAACACTGGGGGTCCTTTAATGACTGTCACTCCATTCCCTGAGGATCATGGCTCTGATGCTGCTGTTTCTATTTTCTCTAACATGGGCAGAACAACTCTTTTCCCATCTAAAGGATACAAGTAAGGTTGGCATTAGTCATTATCAAAGGGCACTGAGGGGTTGAGAATATGGCTAAAGGGCTTGCTGCTCAAGAACAAAGACCAGAGTTTGAATCCCCAGCAGCTATGTAGAAAGAAGTCTCGGATAGTGGTGCATGGCTATCATGACAGTGCTGGGGAGGCAGAAACAGGAGGATCCTGGATGCTTGCTGGATGCAAGACAGAGCGAGTTTCAGGTTCAGTGAGAGACCTGAGGTGGGTTGAGCTGTAGAGACAGCCCAGGAGTTAAGGGTGTGCTCTTCCAGAAGACCCAAGTTCTGTTCCTAGCACTTTTATAAGCCTTCTCACAACCACCTGCAACCCCAGCTCCAGGGAATCTGATGTCCTCTTCTGGACTCCTCTGGCATTGTTGCTTACATATGCATAAACCCACAGAGATGTGCACAAATAATTTAAAATAGAAAATAAATCATAAAAGGTGAAGAAGTAATTAAGGAAAAACATGACATTGACTGTGGTTTCCATATGCATTCCCATGCAAACTTATCACATGTGGCATGGGGGAGATAAGTAAAGGCGGGGAGAGGAGAGGGGAGGAGATACTGAGATCCTGGGCCAGCCATCCACTCTCCATCCACCTTCCTCCGCAATTTCCTCTGCTGGATCAGTCAGGATATGGTGGTATACATGGTCTGGAGACCCCAGACTCCAAAGATAGCCTGGATGGGGCTGGGGGACAGCAGTTTGGGCCACAAAAATCATTCCTACTTCAGTAAAGACTAAGGTCTCCTGGTGTTGCATAGCCTTCCCAGGTAAAGGGAATGTCTCTTCATCCTAAATAGAGAGGGTGACAGCAGACCAAAGAGAGATCAACTTGGTGAAATAAATGTGTTTCAGGGGAGGGCAAGCCGAGGGTCAGCCTCCTACTTCTCAGTGGATAGCATTTCCAAGTGTATAGCTGGGGCCAGAGGGAACGGCTCCTGGAATCTTGGGACAGCCAGAGAAAGGTCCCGTGTGGTGTGGAGGTTCCCCCCCTCCTGTCTCAGAGAGGAAATGTTGCCATACCGTTCCCATAGACCCAGCTATTTGCTGTAGAGTTCTGTTGACTTCATTGCCATGACAGCAGGGCAGTGACCCTGGGAGGTTACCACAGCCGCTTTGTGATGGAGATGTTTCTACCAAGCTTGCAGGAAACAGTGCTTGCTGCACGTGGGTTGCATTGTGATGAGCTTCACTCATGGACATGTGATAGGCAACCTCCCACAGACAGGGGTGGAGACAGAGGGTGGGCAGTCCCACTATCAGTCACCAGGGAAAGGACACAGTATCAGTGCTCTGTGTCATTCTTTAGTCCTCCTCTCTCCCTTCTTTCCATCCCTCCTTCTCTCCCCTTCCCCGCCCTCCTTCTCACATCCCCCGCTCCTTCTTTTTTCTTCTTTACTTCCTACCTTCCTTCTTGTGGTGGTTTGAAAGGAAATGGCCCCTAAAGGGAGTGGCACTGTTAGGAAGTGTGGCCTTGTTGGAGGAAGTATGTCACTGTGGCGGTGGGCTTTGAGGTCTCATATATGCTCAAGCTATGCTCAGTGAGTCAGACCACTTCCTGTTGCCTGCTGGTCGAGATGTAGGACTCTCAGCTACTTCTCCAGCACCATCTCTGCCTGCACGCCACTATGTTGCACCATGATGATAATGGACTAAGCCTATGAAAATGTAAGCCACCACAATTAAATGTTTTTGCTTTATAAGAGTTGCTGTGGCCATGGTGTCTCTTCACAGCAATAGAAACCCTAAGACACTTTCCTCCCTCTCTCCTTTCCCCTCTCCCTTTCTTCTTCATTTTTCTCTCCCCTCTCCCCCTTCCTTCCTTCCTTCCTTCCTTCCTTCCTTCCTTCCTTCCTTCCTTCCTTCCTTCCTTCCACCTTTCCTTCCTTCATTCCTTTTTTTGTCTCACTATATAGCCCAGGCTAGCCTGGGAACTCCTGATTCTCCTTCCTTCACCTTCTAAGTGTTGGGATGACAGTCCCATGCCATCCAGCAGGCTTGTTTTCTGTAGGTATGAGAAAAGAGACAGCATGCACACCTCTTTGGGAGACACAGGGCAAGGACGTGCATAGAACTTATGCATAAAAACGTAGCATCAGACTCTCTGTGGCCAGCATGTGAGGTGAGGTGCTGCAGAGACCTGCCAGTGGTTCGACAAGCAGATGGGAGGTGACTTTCGTTGCTGGGAAATGCAGGGATTTTGCTTAAGTCCCAGGTGAAGTCTAAAGTGTGACTCTCTCTCTCTCTCTCTCTCTCTCTCTCTCTCTCTCTCTCTCTCTCTCTCTCTCTCTCTCTCCAGCCTGGGCCAGATGCAGGGACCGTTTTTCAGGGGAGAGGTGGGAATCAGGGAGAAATTGCCTACTTGTCACTGACCCTCATCTACTTGGAGGCCTGCGTGGTATTTCATAATTCTTTTTTAAGTGCATGCTTTCTTCACCAGGCTGTTCCAATCATTTAGGGTTTGGTTAAGCTCCGTGCTGTGATAATTGAACAAGCTTTTGGGAAGCCCTTGTCTCCTCCTTGTTTCCTATTTCCATTAAGAGCATCCTTGGCTTAGTTCGACCTTGTCATTTTATGAGTCACACAGGCAGGTTTAAGAGACAAGAAGGGTTCCCCACTTTACTGTAGCATCCAAGGGAGGGATCTGAGGCTCCTTGCATCCCTACATCCCTACATCTTTACATCCTTAGCACTCACTCGGGCATGGAGACTGCTAGATAGTGAATGCTGATTGGCTGAATTTACTTTGTGTTCTTACCAGGAAGCATAGGATTGGAAAAAAATAATCCAGGCAAGGGCTGGGAAGATGACTTAATTGTATAGTGCCTGCCACGCAAGCATGAGGACCTGAGTTTGAACCCTGAGCACCCATATAAAAAGACAGGCATGGTGGTGTGTGCTTGTAATGCCAGCACTGGGGACATGGAGATGGGAGGATCCATGGGGCTCATGGGCCAGGCAGCCTAGCTAATTAATTGAACTCCAGGCCAGTGAGAGACACTGTCTTAAAAAAAAAACCACAAGGTAGATGCGGCTGGAGAGATAGCTCAGCGGTTAAGAGCACTGACTGCTCTTCCAGAGGAACCAGGTTCAATTCCCAGCACCCACATAGCAGCTCACAACTGTCTGGAAATCCAGTTCCAGGAGATCTAACACTTTCACAGCAAATGCATATAAAATAAACTTAAATAAACAAAAAACCACCACCATCATCAACAGCAGCAGCAACAAGAAACAGTGTGGATAACAATAAAGGAAGATACTGGACCTTGAGCCCTTACCTCTACAAGCGCCTCTACCCCTCACCTGCCCAGATGCACGCAGCCCCCTCCATGCACATATTCACAGACAAAATGCCTGGTAAGAAACACTAAACATACTAAGGAAACTGGAGACGGAGACGTGGAATGGGCATGGAGAAGACCCCAGAGAGGCCAGTCAGTGGTGTGTGTGTGTGTGTGTGTGTGTGCGCGCGCGTGTGGGAGTGTGTGTGTGGGAGTCATAGGGTCCAAGGGTCTCTTCTGTGGTGGCCCCAAAACACAGCATAGTTCCTGGAGCTAGAAAGATGGCTCAGCAGCCCAGTGTGCTTCCTGCTCCTCTGGAGGTCCTGAGTTCAGATCCTAGCAAACACCTTGGAAAGATCTCACTGTAACTCCCGCCCCATGGGATCCAGCACCCTCTCCCAGCCTCTGCAGGCACTTCACTCAGTGCACAGACACACACAGATATTCACAGAATACATAAATAAAGCGAATCTTAAAAAAAGGTTAGCGTGGTCCCCAGTGAGGTCCCTGCTCGCTCAGAAGCAGCAGGGACTCAGACCATTCCTTGCAGCTTGCCCCTTTTCTCATGTCTGTGAATGTCTCATTGGCTGTGTTTGATGTCACCGATTTTCTTGGTCATATTCCTGTAAGCTTATAGGTATAGGGGACATGGACCTGGCCATCATTCTAGCTTTGGAAGGTAGTGGGGAGGCGTGTACTGTATGTGAGTGGATGTATGTAATTAAGTAGGCATGCATGTATGTATATGAGTGTGTGTGTGAGCACATAGATATCTATCTTTTTGGTTATGAGCCTAGCCTTTAACACATGAACCGTCTCTCTAGCTCACATAGGTATCTGTTCACAGGTGTGTGTATCCAGGCAGGCATGAAGCATGTGTGTACATGGGCAAGCATGTGTGTGCATGGGTAAGCTTGTGTGTACATGGGCTGACTTGTATATGTATGTGCACATTCTACAGTGATTGTCCTCAAGCGATCCTATCAGAACAGTAACTGTCTCCTACTCTCCCTGGCCAGTGTCCTATCCAGGCTCATGTGGGGACAGGGTGCCCTTGATGCTACCTGCAACACCCCCCCAGCCAGTGCAACCCTTCCCCCTGGCCAAAGAGGACAGCAGGTATGACATTGGTACTCACTGGTGCGGGCTGCACTTGGGTCCGTGGTCTGGCTTCCAACCTCACATCCCAAGAGACCCCCGCATGAACAGCCCCATTTCCTATCCTCCTGGCTCCATCTCCCTGCTGGAACTAGCAATCTGCAGAAAGCCTTTCCAGCAGCCGAGAGCAGCAGCCAGGAGCAGCCACAGCAGCAGCCGGAGTAGCAGCAGCAGCAGCAGTACCCTTCAAATTGGGTCTCTAGCCCTTTAAATCTTCTCAGTTACCAAAAAAGAAGAGGGATCAGACCCTGTTAATTAAAGCTCGCCCTGGCCCGTCAGGCTGAGGAGCTGCAGTGCTCTGTTCCTTCAGATGGCTTAGCGACTCTTCCCCCAACTCCACAGCCATGGATCTTGGAGCACTTCTCCCGAGATCAGCAGGAGGTATGGTCCTTAACGCTGGCACTCAGGCTCTAAATCAATGAGACACTAACTGCATGGACGTTGCCTGGCCCCTCTGGCTTCCCTCTTCCCTTCTTCTTCCTCTCCGGTCCCTCAGCTCAGGATCTAGTTGAGACAAATCAAGTCTTGATGCCCTGGGCTTTGGAGGGAAGGAAGGGAAGGGATGCTTTGGAGGGGGCTCCTCATTTGTTTGTTTTGGCCCTGGCTTCACCTAGCTGCTCAGGTGGTCCACAGCATCGGGGAAAGCATCTTTAGTTCAGTTCTGGCTTGTGCAAAAGCATTTTCTCCTGGCTGGGTCCCTTGGTGCCTGGCGATCATGAAAAAGGACATCACCCTGACTCAGTTTGCTTTTCTGAAAGAAACCCATGTTCTGCCACTCAGACCGAAGATGGCCGTGCAAGCCATACAACTTTCTCTCCAGAAATCGTCCCAGCGATGCACCGTGTTAACACCTGTCCCCCAGGCATTCCCCACTGGCTGGACTCTGAATGCTGCTAGGTTAAAAAAATGCTTGCTGTCTGTTCCCAAATTTCCTTCACCCTTCCCTCATGCCTTTTGAGGAAACTCACTCCCAGCCGAGTCCAGGACTTCTGTTCTACAGAGTTGTTTTGGTTTAAGAATCTGCTGGAGCCTGGCAGAGAGAGGAAGAGCGAGGGAGAAAGGAAATTTATTTTCTTTTCACATTGCGTCTTGTAAAATGTACATGGGCCCAGAGCACACATCCATCTACATATTGTACATTGATCTGTTTCCACCCCCACAGCCTCCTTGTGGGGTGAATGGCTCCTCTCAGCTCAGACCCCAGGAAAAGGGTTCCTTTCAGTCAGTTTCACATCCCTAGTAGATGACCCTGCAAGCCAGTTTTCAGCAGATGGCTGTTTCTTTATTCTGGTAACCGTCCCTGGGTCCATGTGGCCTGGGGGCAGGGAATCCCATGGGATAGCAACTCCTCTCCAGAGAGACACATTTAGGAAGGAAAACACCTTTGCTGATTTCCTACAATTTTTAAAAAAACTGATGGGTACTCTGAAGCATTGGGGGGGGGAGGTAAGGTGCAACCCCGTTACGTCAGCAGGGAGGTCCCTCTCCCTGTTGTTGGCACAAACAGAGGCCCTAAGTATTGGTTTGAACAGTTGTTCTTATGTGTGGAATCCTTTCCATGACCCCTAGTCAAGGATGGGCAGTTCCTCTGGGTTGAGTGTGGAAGTCGGTGCATCTGCCTCCCACACACTGTAGGTCCGTTGCAATCCACATTAGTAAAATAATAAAATTCTCTACCGTGCGGAGACTCTCTGATCAGGGGAGATTGTTCGCAGCCTTAGAATGTAGCGCACGGTGGACTTGCCAGTCTCTGTGACTACTGGTGGATTTGTGTGGCGATTTGAAGAGTTCCCTAAAAGAAAACCCAGAACTGTTCTCTGAAAAAAACCAAAAGTCAATTGCGGGGGGTGGGGTGGGGTGGGGCTTCATCAGGCAATATGGAGAGCAGTGGGAAGGGAAGTATGGTGGCTTTGCCCAAGGCTGGGCTTGCAATTCCTCTGCAGACAGCTTTCCTGGGGATTGCAAAGGAGCCGTGACCATAGTCATCAGGATGAATCCTCATTGTGCATAGCTGGAGGGTCCAGAGGTGAAGGTCCATGGGGGGGGGCAGCACATAGTACCTCTACCGTGCTTCCCGAAGCCAGAGGTCCCCTTCTGCTCTGTGTGCCATTGTTCAAGTGTCACCAGCCCTGTGCAGCTTTCTGAGGCTTGACAAATGAGACCCCGGGGATGGATATCACAAATGGTGTCCTTGTCCTGGCGGGGACCCATGAACAATAAGTAAATCAGAGGACCGTTGTTTGTCATCAATTGTTCTTTGCAAGTTAATGGTGTGCGCGTTTGTTTTCAATGTACTGATGTCTGCTGGCCTGCAAGTTGCATAGAGCTCCCAGTGGGGTTTATTCAGGTTTGGCAATGTGGTGGCATGGGTTTTTGGTCCTTCAATATTCTTTTTAATCTTCTCTTAGTGGGTGTGTGCATGTATGTGTTTGTTGGCATATGCCTAGAGGTCAGGGGTCAACCTCTAGGATGCTGCTCACCTCCTTTGAGATAGTCAGTCCTTCATTGGCCAAGACTTTACCAACTAGGCTAGACTAGCTGGCCAGTGAGTCTCCAGGATCATCCGGTACTCTGTCCTCAGTGCTAGGATTGCCGGTGCACAACACCATACCATGGCATTTTCATGTGGGTTCCGGGAGTACAACTCAGGTTCTTTATGTAGTTAAGGATGACCTTGACCTTCCAATCTTTCTGCCTTCGTTTCCTCAGTGTTAGGGTTATGGGTGTGTATAACCACACCTGACTGGAGTAGTGCTGGCAAGTGAACCCAGGCTCTGCGTATGCTAGACAAACACTCTACCAAATCAAGCCACATCCCAAGACCTGTGTGTGTGTGTGTACGTGCCTGTGTGTGCGTGCCTGTGTGCATGTGTGCATGTGTGCATGTGTGTGTGTGTGTGTGTGTGTGTGTGTGTGTGTAAGAGCAAGCATTACTACATAGCTCAGGCTGATCTCAGGCTCCTGCCTCAGCCTCCCTTGAGTTAAGATGACAGGTCAGTATCACCATACCTCGTCCTTAGAATTCACTGAGTGGTCCTGGTAGGCGCTCAGATTACTGGGGTGATACAATGGATTGATAGACCATCACCGGGATCTCAGTGTGTGTAGGACAGTGTGTGGCCTGGCCTGTGACCTGTTGTCACTGGCTCTCATTTCCTTTATCTGTAATGTGTTAAAGTTGTCAGGATTGGATGAGATAATGGAGCTGAAGTCTGAGTATGTCATAGGTACAATGAAAGACCTTCTATCTCAGCGGCCATCAGTTCCATACACACTAACCCAAGGACCAGCCATTTAGAAAACTACACCTCTGCCTCCTCTGGCAGTTGGACTGTGCCTTTTCTGAAGGCAGAGATGACCCCTTCCATGCTATCCTGTCATTACGTTTCTCCCAAAGGCTGGAGCAAGACCTAGCTAGGCATTCCTGTTCCATAAAAGTTAATTGAATGAATCTGTGATGTTCTGTGGACATTTAACCGTCAAACATAGGTGATTTTTAATGACTGGGCACCACTGATTCCCACTCAGTTTACTGAGGGAATACAGATGAGTCAGAGAGACAGAAAATCCCATACCAGTAATCAATGTGAACGAAAGCATATCCATTGGTGGAGAAATTTGAATTGCAGTAAAAAAAATGTCCTCCTGTACTGAGACCTGTTCCAGATGCCTGTGGGCTCTGGGTGTCCTTTTTGTCATTCTGATCAGGCAGGACGGTCACATGACAGATGCCTTCTCCTGTCACGAGCTATTTCCCCTCTTCGTGCTTTGAAGAGAAGTTCCGAGAGGAGAAGCAGTTCCACATACAAAGGTCTGCTTATATGGTTGCTCCACTGTGTAGAAAAAGTCCACCAACTCATTAATCAAGAATCAACAAGTCCATCTGTGATCTGTGCATAGACACTCAACGCCTTTTGATCCAAAAAGTACTGCTGTTGGATGTGCGTGTTCCTCAGGTTACCATCACTGCAAGAAAATACCTGAAGCTAAGCAGCTTTATAAAGTGGAGAGTCGACAAAAGAGATTGAGAGTTTCCCAAATCCAGTGAAACTTGGAAAGAAACCCATGGAATCTACCTAGCTTGGGGTCAGGGAAGTCTTCCTTCAGGTTAAGTGACCCCTAAATTGATTTCCCAAAGAGCTGGCACTGAGAAAGTATTCCAGATCTATAAGTAGCCCATGCATGGACCAGAAGTGAGTGAACCATTTTAGGGGTGGTAACAATCCCAGTTGTCTGTGTTACCCATAACCATGTGGTGAGAGGTAAGGCTGGGGATGTGGCCAGGTCACAAAGGGTCTTGGATGCCTGTAAGGGGAAGGATTTTATCCTAAGGAAGATGATTTATCCCTTCCCACCCCCACCCCCCACCCTGCACCCTTCCAGTGTGTGTGTGTGTGTGTGTGTGTGTGTGTGTGTGTGTGTGTGTGTGTGTGTGTGTGTTTCAGCTTTGAAGTGGAGGGGGCTGGGCTGGGAATATAACTCAGTTGACAGAATTCTTACCTAGCATGCAGAAGTCCTGAGGTTCATCCCCAGCACTTCATAAACCAGGAATTATGGTAAACATCTGTTATTCCAGCCCTTGGGAGGTAGAGGCAGGAGGATCAGAAGCTCAAGGTCATCATTGACTGAATAAGCAGTTTGAGGTCAGCAGAGGCTACAGTAGACCCTGTCTCAAAAAGCAGACAAGACAACGTGTCACTGGGATAATGATTCTTGGAGGCACCCTCAGAACTGTGCCGTTGAGGTTGCAGTACTGGTGTTATAGAATGCAGTCCTCCTGGGAAAACAGCTGCTATCTTCATGAGATCTCCCATGCCTGCTTGCAAGAACCCACCACAATGGGGCCTGTTGGCTGCTGCCATTCCCTCTTAGAATGAGAGGGTGGGGGACTCATTATATGAAACTCTGTCCCTGTTGCAGGTGGCCTGGGTCTTGGGAGGTGCTAGAGTACATAGGCTGGAGAAGGTTAATTGAAGGGGCTCTGTCTGGCAGATTTGGGGAAGTCATTACCCATGCTGGGTGAAGACTTTCCAATGCAGTCGCCCCGGGACTCACCCACCCCATTCTGCCAGCAGCACCTCATCTGTGTTCTGTGAACTTGGGGGAAATCAT